AAAGCATATACAAATAAAGCCTGAGCAAAACCACACAGGCCCTTTTTTTTTGACGTTAAGGTGATTTTAAGATTAAAAAGAAATGAGAAGAAAGGAAAAAGATAAATCACAAAGACTACAACAATCACAAACCTTCTCTAAATAATTATGCCTATACAGATTGTCAGCACACCAGGTGACTTTTAATCCATCCCCATCCAGTTCCCCTCCTGGCCCTCTTAATGGCTTCTAGCCACTTCCTCTTGGGATGTGGCCAGTCTAAGCTCAGGAAATTCAGTTTTAATTCTGGAATCAGTAAAGCATATTAGAAAAGGAAATCCCCAAGTGTAAAAAGAATCACATTATGAATTTCAAAGCCAAGGGAAAGGATCATAAATTAAGATTGTGAATTTGCTGGGAACCATTTTACTCATTTTGATGCAGGGCTCCTGCGATTTGGCTTGGCCACTACTCACCCTTTAGGATCACCCAGGATTTGGCCTCTTCCATTCTTGTGTTTCCAGAGCTTCCACCCTGAACAGCCTTCAGCTTTGGCAGAGTTGCTTTTCTGACCACAGGGGAGGTGCTGGGCCAGGATGAAGGCCCACCTAAAGGGCCAGTATTTTGAGTTACACCTACCTCCCAGGGATTTTGCTTGAGATATATTTGAAAAGCCTTTGTAAATAGATGAGCTAGGGCATTATCAGCTGCTCTTTATTTATTCATTGCTGTTCTGGTTGATGACTTAACTGACTTGCTACACTGTGTAGCAGAATATTCGTAGATTTGATTTTTAAAACCACATGTGCTGCACAGTATGTTGTGTACCTTCAGACTTAATCCCTGCAGTAATTGTCATATTTAGCAAAGATCCAGAAATTAACTTGCTCAAAGTCACACTTTTTGATCCTTTTACACTCTCCTAAGATTGGGTTAGGTTTGCTAACCCTCCACATCAGTTTCCAGTCTTCCCCAATGGGCTAGCAGCCCACAGTCGGTCTAGGAATGGTATTTGTATTTTTGCTTCTTGAGAAAAAACAGCATGCATAGTGAAAGATGCCTTTTGGTTTTAGGATCCAGGGAAGCTTCTGCAGGAGGTGTTGAAGATGCTCCCAAAATTTGGATGAATTAATGTAAACTTACCCTACATCTATTGTTTATATCTATTATGTTGCTTTCTATTTTCCCCATTAGAATGGAAGATTAAAAAAAAAAAAGAAAAGATAACTGGCAGGAGGTAGTTGAGAAAGAGCTGTATGCACAAGCAGATTCCACCTTTTCTTTTTGGTGCTGGTGTTTGAATCCAGGGCCTCACTCATTGCTAAGCATGTCACCACTGAGCTATACCCACCCCTAACCTCACAATCTTTTTGTGACATCAGTGTATTGTTTTCTGAAGCTGAGCTCAGAAAGAGAATGCCCCAGAACAACCACAACCCTCTGGGGTGGCGGAATGCTGAACCTCTGGCTTCCTGAGTTCAACATTTACTTGCAGCTGATGCTCAGAAGAGGAACCGCAGGAATGTTGTCTCCAAGACACCTGCCTGCAGGAAGGAGCCCTGGCAGCTGGCCCAGGGCAGAGGGACTCCACAGCTTAGGTCCAGTTGCCAAAGAGCTGGAGTTCTATGTCTCACTCACCCCACTTTCACCAGAGTACAACCCTTGAAAAAGCTGAAAAAAATTACTTGCTTATAATCATCATTAGCTTCATTTTTATTAGGAGATAACTGTCTCTTGCCAGAAGTCTTCAGATCAAATCCCTTGGTTTTTTTCAGCACTGGTCTAGCAAACATGTTTATATCACAAGGACATTGTAACTATCATTTAAATACTTACTGACACCCCCTTAAAGGTGAACTCCAGGTACTTGATACATATTACAAAACTGCTTTCACAAAATGTCATACAAGCCAGGCGCAGTGACACATGCCAGTAATCCCAGTGGCTCAGGAGGCTGGGACAGAAGGATTGAGTTCAAAACCAGCCTTAGCAACAGAAAGGCGCTCAGCAACTCAGTATAGGGCTGGGGATATGGGTCAGTGGTTGAGGGCCCCCAAGTTCACTCCCCAGTACCCCTCTCCAAAGAAAAAGTTATACAAATTTACTCAGCCACCAAGCAATAATTTGTCATTTAAACCAAGTCAGTGATGTAGTAGGGAAAAATAAAAATCTCTTCAATTTTACAATTTGCTTTTAAGGATATTGCTAGGGACAAAAAACTTTAACCAGAATTAGTTACTGATTATATTTCCTCATTTATACAATCAACACAATTGTGGAGGGAGTGTGCTATTATAGTAGAAAAGAGGAAGGACTTTAGGATGCATCTCACAGCAAAGAGCCAGACATACAAGCACAAACCACAAATGATTTCCCATCCATTTACATACAAAAGAAAAACAGGAAAACTAAAAGGAGGGATGAGATCAAAAAGGAGAATTTGATCACTTAGCTAACATTCTAAAGAGTCACCGCAAAACCATTCTTTCCAAGTAAGAATCAGCTTTGGAATTGTAAGAGTACAATGTTTTCCCAAGCACTTAAGATTTTTAAAAATAGGGCTGAGGTTATAGTTCAGTTGGTAGAGCGTTCGCCTCACTTGTGTGAGGAGGTACTGGGTTTGAGCCTCAGCACCACATAAAAATAAAATAAAGATATTGTGTTAATTAAATATTTTTTAAAAAATATTTTAAAAGAAATTTTTAAATAGGTGTTTACATTTATCAAGCACTTGCTATTAACATAGCTGTCACTTGTCAGCTGATCTTTTTGACAAACCTAGGGGTGGGTACTAATTATTAACATTTTAAATAGGAAATACCCTGATGCTTAGGGAGGCCAAGTTACTTGGTTGAAGTGACGTAGCCTCCATTCAAACCCAAGCAGCTTACCTTTCGCCCAAGCAGGAGGCTGTGACTCCTTTTCCTAGCTATTGCTACCCTCCAGGCAGGTTAACACAAAGCAAATGGATGATGCCCGTCAGTTTTGGAGAAAGATATTCTATCCTCACCCATCCTATTACTTCTACCTGCTCACATGTGAATGAATTTGCCACTACAGTCCAGACTTAATTAGAAAAGGGTGACTGACTCTTAAGATCCTAATGCTAGAACACATTTCAGGAGTGATATACTTGAACCTCACCCCACCCCCATCAACACCAGCCCAGATGCTTCTAAACTCTGAAGCAACTTGGCCTGATCACATTGGAGCAAGCCAGGCAAGTTTGGGATGTCACTTCTCATCAAGTACTGAAAGAGTGTTCATTGTTACACAAACTATCATTAACTTCTTTCTTCATGTCTTCTAGGCAAATGCCTGACTTGTTTGTTAAAGCAAGTCGTGTTGCAAAAGTGGAAATTTACTGTTAATCTTTCCTTACCTTTCCAAACAAAAGTGTGTGGTAGGAGGGAGGGGCCACACTTGCACTGATGAATGAATTTATCATGCTGAGAACCATCTGCTAGGGAAGGTAAAACCCAGACACAGGTTTTTCACACAAACATGTAACCAATTCCCAATTTATCAATTAAAATTCAATACAATAAAATGTGAGCTCATATAAAAATACCAAATGGTTAACAATTTTTCCTTTTTAAAATATAACTTTAATATTGACATGTACAACTATGATATAGACATAAACTACTAAATTCAGACAACTTAATAAACCCAGAGGATTATTCATTGTGACTAACTCAAGGATAAAAAGAGCCCAAATTTTCCAGTTTGTTTTACCATCATCCTTTCCTGAGTACTTTTTGTATAAAACTGTGCTAAGGTGATCTAAACTTTATTAAGAGACTTGCATGTAACCATGATAAATGGTCTGGTTTATGTTAGCATGATCTCCTATAATTGTCAAATTTCTAAGTAACTTTCCTGCTCCTTGTTTCAGAGTGTACTCTTGGTCCCTGTCTCAGGCCTTTTAGATACTGCAACTACCTAGGAGGGTGGGGGGCAGTGAAAAGGAAAAGGTAGGAGGAGTCCTACGCACACATCTCTTTACCCACAGCAGCCACTAAAACCATTGAACTGAAATAAAAATTCATATGAAGTCGATCTTCAAATAAAGTAAGGGACAACAGAAAAGATCAGAAAGCTGGATGTTTCCAGGACTGACTTACAACAGAGAGATGATCAGCCAGTTGTTAACCAGGACCCTTAATCCTTAACTAGGAAGAAAAGACATGGAGCAGACCCGTGTTGAGTTTTCAACTTGGCTGTCACCAAAACTGATCTTGTATAAAACCCCTGGGTCAGGGTTTTAGCTCAGTGGTAGAGCACATGCTTAGCAGATGCAAGGCCCTAGGTTCAATTCCCAGCACCAGAAAACAAATCCTTAAAACCTACCTCTTTAGTGCAAAAAAATAAATAAGGGCTGGACAGGTGATAACAAGTATAGTTCCAGCTTTGAGACAGTAACTTTTGCTTTTGATTACAACAAATTCAGAACCCTTCGTTCTAGAGTAGTGATAAATCTACACAATATTCTCACTCCTGTAACAGGATTTAACTACTGAACATGAGCAACTTAACATATGGGATGGGGAGCAGGGATAATCCTCTAAAGGCTTGCTTTATTATTTTTTCCCATTTCTATTACTTACAATTCCTCAATAGTTGTCTTCATTTTTATAGAAGGGAAAAGAGGTACACAGAGGTTAAACATGGGTTTAGTGTCCAAACAGGCTCAGTCTGCCAATACTCTCAGCAGGCTTCTTCCCTCAAATTCCTTCCTCTCTGCCATAACACTCATACAAAGGGAGTTTCTCATTGTGTCCTTAACGCTAACTGCTCTGGATGCTCTCAATTTAGGAAAGGAGGTTTCAAATTCCCCTCCTGCTTGTCTTAAAGCAAAGAGGAAAGGTGAAAAATCAACACAAAATAAGCTATATACACAAAATTAAGGCACATAAACTGGGTGGTTTAATATTAGCAAAGGCCAAACTGAAACTTGATAATGAAAATGAAGACACAGCAATATTTTCTTCAACAAAATAAACATTTGGAGGAAGAAATATTTTCTAAAAATAAATGTTTTATTTGCAAAAGCCAGTCTCTTATACAAGGTTTTGAATCTATACTTTCACTTATCAATTACAGTGGTATTTTAAATGCATTGAATAATTCACTGAATATATTTGTCTTTCTGCCTTAATTTAGAAGATATTAGGTTAAAAAATAAAAAATATTTAGTTCCAATCTGTCCACCTCCCCTCCTACCCTTATACCAGAACCATTCTCCACATTTCAGGTAAGTAAAAAGGGTCACAAAACTTGAGTTTCATGTGGATATAAGAATGTGCCCATTAATTCTAAGCATGTCATAATTTTCTTCTTAAGCCCACTCAGAAAAAGAGGATTTACTGAAACTAAGCATACTTTACAACTTCCCTCCCCATCTTTATAGGTTTGCCTAGGTCCAAATTTTTCTGGCCCCCTTGAATTTGCAAACACTGAAAAAAATGTAAAACAAAACATGACATACAAACATTTATCTATACTGAATAACACAGCCCTAACTAGAAACAAATATAAACTAAATCACCAAAAATCAAAGGGGAAAAATTCCAGGAGACTGTAGGGGGACAGCTCAGTGGTAGGGCATATGCTTAGCATTCTTGAAAGCCCTGGGGTTCAATCCCCAGGACCACCTAGACAAAAACAAGAAAGCAGCAACCAACAACACAACAAAGCCAACAGACACAAAGATTCCAATAGTCTCATAGTATAACTGAGGTTTTAGAAAAACCAAAGGTGAATATAGCTGATGCTTAAACTATCTGTCTATATTTAATTACATGTGTTGCATTTACTTAGGAGCCATGACTATAAAGTTTTCTAGACTTTAATACTTTTAAAGTGAGAAAAATAATACCCAGTGACTTCAAAAAAGACAATGATCTATAACCACTCAAAATGTTTTTGAATAGGGGAGAACAGTAATTTAGTGAAAAACACCAACAAACAAAAGGAACAACAACAACAACAACAAAAAAACCCCACTTAGTTTCTAATAAGAATCCTGGAAAAGGTACCCGAGAGATGTTGACAAATACTACGTGGCTAGGACTGTCAAGATGTTTCTCAAGTTTTATGCTTTAAATTTTCTAAACATATAGCTAACAGGCACAAACATATGCCAGGCAACTACTGATGCTAGAAAAATATTTTAGTCAGCATTTTATAAAACCTCCAACTTCGAACCAACATTTCTGTTCATAAGTGTTCCAATAACAATGTCTGACAATACATTACAAATAACAATGAAGCAAAATTAAGTTTCAGAGTTGCCTCAAACAAGTTAGTTGTTATTTTCTTTTAATGTGACACTTAAAATAGATGAATTCAGCAGAATGGTTTAAAAAGTTAAGGCTCTCTAAAGAGTTCTAAAGACTAAAACTTAAGGCACATGTCATAATCTTTTTGACACTATTAAAAGCTAAGATTAAAATAAAACAAGACAAAAAAACACTACTTCTTTCCACACACTTTGCCAACCACTCCCTCCCCACAGCATATGATATTTTCAATTCAGGCTATTGGTAAGGAGTGAAACAAAAACTCCATCATGAACACTGGTATGTTTTCCACACAAATGTTCACTGTCTGTATTGAGCACCACTGATAGACTACAGGCCAGTAGAGTATTTTCAGAAGTCCTGGGTCACCAACTGCTCCATTTACGCTCCAGCCTCTTTGGTTCAGACTGGACTCTCTTCCTCTTTGGGGTCTCCTGTGTGTTTTGGCTTTGGAGATTCTGCTGCTTTAGTAACTTCTTTTGGATTATCACCAACATCCATTCTGGTCTCCTCCTCTTTACTTTCCTTTTTCTGCTTCTCATCTGATTTCTGTTCTTTTGCCAAAAGTCGATAATTGATTCCCATGCCAATGAAGAGATAGATACCAGCAAAAATTAGGATCACACCACATGACCAGTACGTGTATTTGTAGTCTCCATACAAGTCATTGAGACGACCTAGAGAGATAAAAAAGAAAGAAAGCAATGAGGGTAAAAACAAAGTATTAAGGATCCTGTCAGAAAAAAAAGATGTTGATCCAATCTTCTACAAGCCCACAAATGACAAATCAGCATAAAAAGGAATTTCTAAAAATTATCTATTTAGAGTCGCCTTGTATATTGTTATTTTTGGCAACTTGAAAAATCATCAATTCTCGGGCAAATTTGAGTTAGCAAAGACCTGGAGATCAATCTGCAATCAAACCCCTCAATACATAATGGAAAAAGTGTTGCTCAGAAGAGGTCTGGGACTCTTGTCTGAGGACACAAAGCTATTCCAGTTACAAGAGGCCAATGCTCTTTCTCTAGCAGAACTTCCCAAAGAGCGTCCTGTGAACACTTGCCCTGTGCTGGTAACTAAACTAACAGCAATACTTAGCCACCATTCTAAGCACTTCATTTTGACAGGCACATTCCATGGTCATCCTCATTGTATAGATACAAAAACTGAAGTACAGAGACATAAGTAACTTATCCAAGGTCATAAAACTAATAAATGCAACCATTTGGCTTTAATCTGGGAATTCTGACCCCTGGGTCTATTGTGCAAAAGTGAGCCGAATGTTTCAAAGGTCAAAAGAATTTGGGGTGGCATATCCCTTCCTTTTATCTTCAAGGCTTTGTGAAGTCTGATAGTAAAGAAATCCATTTAACTTGGTGTTTCTACAGGAGGACCAGTTAGGATTTTACCATTAGGATCAGGAGGAATAGGAAACAGGAGTTTGGTTAAGGGTGGTAGTTGTGATGGAGAAAAATGAGCATTAGAAAGAGATTAAGGAGATGAAATTTGACAGAATTTGTAAACTCATTGGGAAGAGAGTGGAGGAAGACAGCCTTATGAAAAGACAATTGTAGCCAGGCATGGCGGCATAATCCCAGCCAAGTGGGAACAGAGATAGGATTGCAAGTTCAATACCAGCCTCAGCAACTTAGCAAGTCCTTCTCTCGAAAATAAATAAATAAAGATGACCGGGGATGTCATTTAGTGGTAAAGCATCCTTGGTTCCATCCCCATTATCAAACAAAAAAACCAAAATGATAGCTGTCGACTTTTGTTCACTCCCCAAAACGAAATTCCAAAAGTATGTATCATATCCAAAAGAGGTTCAAATTACTTTCTTACTTTGTGTTATCTATGGAGCTATTAATTTACAAGATGAAGTATTTAGTAACCTCAGGGAATAGTTCCCAAATTACACACTGACTTACAAGCTATATAATCTTGGCCAAATTATTTTACATTTTCAAGCTTCTATATCTTCACTTATGAAATGGGGATTAAAATAGTCCTACCTCACAGCCTTGTGAGATGCAACAGATACATACAACTTTAGTGTTGGCACCACTGTAAACTTACACAACAGCTATTATTACATTATTTCTACTGGAATAAATTCCAGCATTAAAATAAAATTCCCTGAGGGCTGGGGATATAGCTCAGTTGGTAGAGTGCTTGCCTCCCATGTACAAGGCCCTGGGTTCAATCCTCAGCACCACAAATAAATAAGTAAGTAAGTAAATAAGTAAAATTCCTGGAGCCGAGAATGGTGGTGCATGCCTATAATTCCAGCTAAAGCAGGAGGATTACAAATTCAAGCCCACCCTTGGCAACTTAGATCCTGTCTCAAATAAAAAGGGGTAGAGATGTAACTGAGCACCCCTGGGTTCAACCCCAAGTACAAAACACAAAACAACAACAAAAATCTCCAAAGTACTTTTAAAGGTGGAATCGTTCTCCTACAAAGAATGTGTTGTTAGTTTTAGTGATAGAAAATTTTTTAAATATTCTTTTAAAATATCTGATCCTGCTCCCACAATCCTTCGTGCCCTTCCTTTCCATCTTGGGCCTGGCAGAATGGCTCCCACAAAGAAGGGTAGCAAGAGGAGGGGCTGTTCTGCTATCAATGAGGTCATGACCTGGGAATACACCACCCACATTCACAACATCTGGAAATCTGCCATGATGAAGGAAATGGGAACTCCAGATAGGCGCACTGATACTAGGCTCAAAGCTGCCTGGGCTAGAGGAACAAGGAATGTCCCATATCACATTCAAGTGCAATCATCCAGAAAACATGAGGACGAAGATTCACCAAACAAGCTCGATACTTTGGTAACCCACGTCCCTGTTACCTTGTTCAAAAATCTAGTCAATGTGGATAAAAACTGTAAAACAACAACAAAAAAACCTGATCTTCTTGTACAGCTGATGGTTCCATTTTATTTGACTCTGTATATCAGCAATTATGCTTTGTCAAGTTGTGTGCCAGCACTGAGCGCACAGAAATGAGAAACATCTGCTCTTTGTCAAACAGCTCACTAATGTTTTCTATCACTGTCCCAATCCTGTACACCTATATTTTGAATTTCTTTTTCAGTTGTAAAAGAACATGATAACTTTATTTTATTTATTTTTATGTGGTGCTGAGGATTGAACCCAGTGCCTCACATGTTGTTTTTGGATAGCAGAATCATAGAGGTAGGAAAACATACTATACCTAACAGTGGTGGCCCCAGGAGGACAGGACAGCATTCCACAATGGTCACCAATCCCACAGCGCTGGAGAACCTCTGTGGTCCAACGAGGTCCATCAGTGTTTCAAACAATACAGAGCTGAGCCACCCAAAGGCAAATCCAAAGAATCCCGCATAGATACAGAACCCAACATAGGTGCTGGCGGATAAAGGTGCTAACAAATGACATGCTCCATTTGCAATAACAGAAGCAGCAAAGAAATATTGGACTCGCGGTCTTATCCACTTTGTGTTGGCTACCAGTCCCATAGAAGGTCTTGCTACCATGTCAACAAAAGCCAGAATGGAAAGAAGGAAGGCTGACTTCTCATTAGAATAATGCTTACTCTTGCCATAATTACTAAGAAAAACCAAAGGTGTAAAGAGTCCAAAAAACATGATCACATTTCCAGAGAGATACAGCAAAAAGCCTCTGTGTGTGAACAGGGACAAGTCCAGGAACTGGTTAATTTTTTGAATATGTGAACGTTTTTCCTTTTTGCGGTTTCCTCCAATAAGATCTGTATTTGCATCACCTACATTCTTTGCATCAGATTTTCCAGCTTCTTGAAGGGATTCTTTGGACCCAACATTTTCTTTCTTTGTTGGCTTTGGCCCTATGGGTCGCATCAAGGATCCAGCTACACAGCAATTTAATAGGAGGCCCCCAAGAATTAGGAAGCTTCCTCTCCAGCCAAAGATACCAAAGAAAGCCTGATTGAGGGGGGCCAGAGTAGAGAGGAACACAGGGCTGCCAGCCATAGCCAGTCCATTTGCCAATGGTCGCTTCTTGTAGAAATACTTGCCAATCATCGTCAAAGCAGGATTCAAGTTGAAAGCAAGCCCAAGACCTAAGGGAAAGGGGCAAAATTAACTATAATAAATATCAGAAATATCTCCAATATTACTTAACCAGACAAAGAAACTAAAATAGGAGGTATAAGTAATAGAAAGGGACAAAAGAATCTCATTATTGGCTACACTCTATAGTGGTTTAAAGTGTGAATTCAAAAGTGAACTAGAGAATTCAAATCTCAGCATCACTACTTACTGGCTGTGCAACAGCCCGAACAACGAGTAATACTATTTCAAAATAAAAAATAAGCTGGGCATGGTGGTACACACCTGTAATCCCAGTGGCTGGGAGGCTGAGGCAGGAGAATTGTGATTTCAAAGCCAGCCTCAGCAAAAGCAAGGTGTTAAGCAACTCAGGGAGATCCTGCCTCTAAATAAAATACAATTAGGGATGGGGATGTGGCTCAGTGGTTGAGTGCCCCGAGTTCAATATCTAGTACAAAAAATAAAAATGGCTAGGAATGTAGCTCAATGACAGACTCTCCCTGGGCTCAATACCCAGTACTTCAGGCAAGCACTCAACTACTGAGCTACATTCCCAGTCCCATTATTCTTTTTTTTTTTTTTTTTTTTGGCGGTGCTGGGGATAGAACCCAGGGACTTGTGCATGCAAGGCACCCATTATTCTTATATCAGTAAGAAAATGAATTTATAACAGTTGTCAAAAAACATGTTAAAAAATTATACTCAAAAGACCTAGACACAAAATGAAAAAACATTTTCTAGATTACCCCTTACTTTCCTAATATGCAGAGACAAATTACAATCTGAAGGTACTCATTACCTATTGAATTAGAAATGATGAAACAAACAAACAAAAAAAAAAAAGGATACCCCATTGTTGGCAAGTACATCCTCTCTCATACTGTGGCAGGACTCTTATTCAACCTTTTCTGGAGGACAGTTTAGCATATATGTATTTAAATAACACACATAGAAGGAAGGGAATGTAGCTCAGTGGTAAAATGTTTGCCCAGCATGCACAAGATACCCAGCAAAAGAAACAGAGAAAATAAAAGACACACTGCAGTTTCCCTTAAAAACCCTTAATAGGCAGGCATGGTGACACATGCCTGTGATCCCAGCATTCTGGAAGGGTTGAGGCAGGAGGCTCATGAAGTTCAAGGCCAGTTTCAGCAACTTAATGGGGCCCTAAGCAATTTAATGAGATACTGCTTCAAAATTTTTAAAAAAGTGGGGACGGGGGTGTGTGTGTGTGTGTGTGCGCGCGCGCGCCTGGGGATGTGGCTCAGTGGTTAAGCACTTCTGGGGGTTCAAACCCCAGTAACAAACAAAAAACCAAACCTTTAATAATCAACAACCAAGAGATTAGTTAAATAAAATTATGTCTATTCAATGGAATAATACATTAAATTTGTTATGTATCAGAATACTTATTGACAGGGCAACATATTCATGATACATTGCTAAGTGAAAAAAAACTGGTGATGGGGCTGGGGTTGTGGCTCAGTGGTAGAGCGCTCACCTAGCACTTGTGGGGCGCTGGGTTCGACCCTTAGCACCACATAAAAAAAGAAAAGAAAGGTACTGTGTCCTACTTCAACTAAAAACAAAAAACAAAACAAACAAAAAAAGAAATCCAAACTGGTGATGCCTACAAAATTTAATTTTTTGGTACTAAAAAGAGGTTGGGTTTGTACACATAAAAGTATGGAAGCACAAACAAATTGTTAATAGTAATATTTTTTGGATTGAGACATAATGTGCAATCTTTATTCACTATACTCAGTGGTTCATAACCTTACTTTGGTGACTAATAAAAAGGAGGGGGGAATTATTGTTTCTCTTACTCTTCCGAAGTATTACTTGAACATTGTTATAATTCCTGCTTTTTGTCTAAAATACTGTCCTATTCCAATAAGGGTCTATTCTCCTTGGGAAGAAGAGGTAAGGAGAGAGATTAACCAATGACCACCCTCAACAGAATATGCAAGGGCACATAACCCTAACCCTAACCACTGTGTAATTTTAAGAAGGGATGGAATCACCACTCAAGTCAATGGACAAAGAATAAATGCCTATTATATGCAAGCAATTTATTTAAAATGTTTGCTTTTCTAGTACAACTTGAATCATTTCTCTAAGAAATTGTCATTCAAGAGATCTGAAAGTTGAACGCAAATGAGTACTAAACGACCAGCAAAAAATTAACACTCAAAAATGAATAATACTTCACCTCCAATGACGCCAATACACAAGTAAAGTTCCGATACAGTGTTACAGAAAGAAGCTGCAATCAAGCCACAGCCAGACAAGCAGCCACCAATAATCATGACTGGACGGCTGCCGTACTTATTCACCAGGATACTGCTGATGGGACCTGGGGGAGAACAAAAAATTTAATATATAGGAACCATATTCCCTCATATCTACACAAGGCATGAATAACAATAAAGAACAAGTCCTCTAAAATGGCAATGATAAGAACCTTTCTATTATTATCTGCGAGTCATATATATGTGTGCTAGAAAATAAAGACATTTCAAGATTTAATAAAATACAAAAGATCCCAGTCCATCATTAATTTTTTTCTTTTAAGGCATTGGGAATACCTTGTTAATGAATGTTCACAGGGAACTTGATGCATGCAGGATGATCAACCTATGTATAGTAAGTTTGCTCTAGTTTCAATTTTTGGACAGGCATTCTGATATGATGAGATGTAAGAACACATCTGAGTAGGTTTCTAATTTTAGTGCATTATTTATACATTACAACCAATGTGGCTTGTGTCACAAAGAAAAAAAAACAGACAATAATACATAATAATTTTTTTTAAGTTTAAGTTTTCCAAGTAGGTCATTAAAAAAAAAATTCTCAGTTACATCTAGATGTCTCAGGTATTGAACTGAATACATCTTTTATTTTTCAATTACTATGTTTCAATACTGTGAAAAAAAGCTTGTAGAAGATCAATTTAGATAATAATCAATTTTATAAAAGTAGTTGTAACGAGACTCCAAAACAAAAAAGGGCCAGGTGTGGTGTTATGCACCTATAATACTGCAGCTGAGAAGGCTAAGGCAGGAGAATGGCGACTTCAAAGCCAACCTCAGCAACTTATGGAGGCCCTAAGCAGCTCAGTGAGAAAGCACCCACCCCTGGATTCACTCCTCAGTACCAAAAAAAGGCGGTGTATGAAATGAAAGGTTATTTGGGTAACCAGATTAAATTCTCAGCTAAACGTACGAAGATGATTAGTTTTACTTGAACGGGAAAGAACCACATGAAAAATAATTAGAAAAAGAATTTTATGTATAAATTTTCAAATACAGAAAACATGGCCTCTCACTTGCTATGAGCAAGTACAATTTGCCCCCCCCCCCTTTTTCCTTTTTTTGGTGGTACTGGGGATAGAACTCAGAGGCACTCAACCACTGAGCCATATCCCTGACCCTTTTTTGCATTTTATTTAGAGATAGGTTGCTTAGGGACTCGCTAAAGTTGCTGAGGCTGGCTTTGAACTCAAAATCCTCTTTGCCTCAGCCTTTAGTTTTACTAAATAAATATATTTTTATCCTTTTGAGATTCATTATCATGATGATTGGATTTTCACACCATTGTGTGAGATGTGCCTCTTTCATTGGTCATGATGTTGGCACAGTACTTGTCTGATGTAGAGGGAAAACAAAAAAAGGGGGGAAAAAACTAACAACATTAGAAGATTTTTTTTTACAAAATGGAGTAACAGATTGAATTTCATTTATTCATATTTATAAAACTACTTGTGTCATGTCATGCATATGGATTATGGAAATGATAACTAGGTTTACAGGACACATCAGTCTATCTGGTTAAGGTAGATGACTGCAAATGGAAAAGGCTCAATGCAATGCCTCAGTAGGGAAGAAGATACAAGAAAAGAACCGATACTAGAACTTGCAAAGTCACAAAGCTAGTGAGAGCCGAGTTTCACATCTAACCTATCCCCACTATCCTACTACAGTACTCTGCAGTTTTGGAACAAAGTTATACTGCAGAAGACACAAACCACATTTCTATTAGCACAGCACATTCTGACCTTACTGTGTTTCTTTCTATACTTAGCTCCCCTAGAAGACAATATGTTTATTTTAAAAATCATAAACTGACTCTACATATTCAGAATACACTGATAATATATGCTAGTATTTATTATTCAGAGTTGCCACATGGTATACTAATATTAAAAGGACAGGCTCTGATCCAAGGGAATCCTAATTCAAATTATGGCTCCATCACTTTCTTCTCTTTGTTCCCCAGAGGTAGTGGTGGTAATTGTTACTATTTTTTATTATTAATTATTTGCAGTACTGGAGATTGAACCCTGGGCCTCACACCTTGAGGTTATTATGAATTTACCTTTTAGGGTTGTTGAAAAGAATAAAAACGAATTCACATGTGAAGTGTTTAGTAGGTCTTCTTCAACAAATATTGGTAGTGATAATGATAACATTAGTGCACATGCTTATGCTTTTGTGCACTTGTTTGCACGCACTCTCTAATCATCTGACACAGACATATGTATGCATAATAATATGAGAGGGAATCAAGACTTGATTATCCTTGTGTCTCAGAGGACCAAGTCTAAGTAAGTGGCTGAGTCAAGGACTAGCTGCCCAAAAGGCTCCACCCAGAGTGTGTACAAAACAGTTTCCACTGATACCTTCTAAGTCACTGCTATAGTCTGAATGTTGGTGTCCCCTCAAACCTAAGGAAACCTAACCCCTAAAGGAGCAGTATTAAGAGATAGGGCCTTTAAGAAATAATTAGGTCATGAGGGCAGAGCCTTATGAATGGAACCAGTGTCCTTGTAAAAGAGGCCTGAGGGTGCTTGTCTTCCCTTCTGTCATGGGAACATGCAGCTAGAGGTAACCATCTATGAGGAACAGACTCTTAACAGATACCTGAAAAGACTAACAGTCACTTAATGAAAATATTAGGTCCCAGGTAATTTGAAAATAATCTGAAGTTATAGCTTGCGTGAGACTGAAAAACTGAACACTGAAAGAATGTTTGTAAAATGGTTCCATATAAATCAGTAATGAGATCTTTGTATAGTCAGAATTACAAAGATTAATATTGCTATACTGTTGAGTCTATGAGGTATAAGTTAATACTGTAAATTTTGCATTCAAAATTCCAAACCAGAGTATTAAGATATTCATTGTGAGACAGGTGAGGTGGTGCCTATAATTCCAGCAGCTTGGGAGGTTGAGACAGGAGGATTAAGTTCAAAACCAGCCTCAGCAAAAGCGAGGTGCTAAACAACTCAGTGAGACCCTGTCTCTAAATAAAATTAAAAAATACAGCTGAAAATGTGGCTCAGTGGTCGAGTGTTCCTGAGTTCAATTCCCCCACAAAAAGAAATTTATTGTGGTACTGAAAATATGTAAATTGAAGCTTTCATATTAAAAAAAGGAAAAACAAAAAGTAGGCAACTAAGATAATCTCCTAATAATATACTTACATTCTTAATAACTATCGGTACCTATCTCTTACCCAAAGCACTAAAAACAAGACTATCACAGCTGAAATCATACTACCATTTAGAGTGTAGTCTTAGTGCACGAGATAAAGGATTATGACAGGGCTGGGGTTGTAGCTCAGTGGTAGAGCACTTGCCTCTCATGTGAGAGGCACTGGGTTCAATTCTCAGCACCACATATAAATAAATAAATTTAAAAAAGGTCCATCAACAACTAAAAAAAAAAAAGGATTATGACAGCTGTGAGATGAAAATTCTTAGGGGACATATCACTTAGAGAAACAACAACAACAAACCATTTAATAAAACTTCTGCCACACAGCTCATGATAGGCAATTTGTCCTTCAGAGTTATTTAAGGAATGATGGCCCTAATTAGCTATAATTAAAAATAGAAAGCGGTAGTTTATAGGCCTATAAGACAAACTCAGAAATGTGCTAGTTATCTCACTAACTGGGTGAGGACAAAGAAGGAACTGTTTCCCCTAAAGGAAAGTGTCACATGCAATTAGCACAAGTGACATCACTTACTTTTGATGCAAAATACAAGTGGCTCCCAAGCTCTTTGGTAGTTTAGAATTGCAACATGTGAACCTCTGATTTGTAATCAGCTTAAAGATACAATGAATACCTGAAATGCCTCTGGATAATACTTATGCCAATTTCTTCAAGTCATCATACTCAAAATCTGGTTAGAAACTCTGGCAGATTGGAGTTCAAAGCCTGTAAATTATAGGCGCTCAGAAACTACAAATGTCCAAAGTCCAAAGTTTCTGAACTTAAAAAAAAAAAAAAGTACTACAATTTAGCCCTTAGTTTCTTTTAAAATGTATGTGAAAGACCTAACAGGCCTATCTTAAAATTGTAAAAAAGCAGAAAAAGCTACATGGTGAAAAAAATAGGTATTCCCACTCTTGTTCCTAGACACCCAGGTTATCTTCCTCCAAGGCAACCATTTTATCTATTTCTTCTGTGAAAATTTAATAATGCGTAATTTAATTATGATTTCTACTACATATTTCTGCTTCATAAGCTTATGTTATTATCTCCAAAGAATTATAAATTTCTCAGAGGAAGAGATCAGGACCAGTGTTCTTTATTATAACAAATAGCTCAGTGCTGAGTATACTCATGGAGCCCAGTAAGTACTAGTCCAATCTGCTACCAGTTTAGCAGCCAAAGGCTAAATTATTTGCAGGTTAAGTGTAGAATCTTTTCACATGCTAGGCAAGCACTCTACCACTGAGATACATCCCCAGCTCCTAGAATCTTTATAATGGCTATTAAAGATTTACATGTGAGTTTAATTGGAGGCAATAAATTGCTAACAATGACAAGATATAACAGAATTTTGTCTAAACAAAGAAACAACACACTGTCAATCCCAATAAACAAAAGCACTTGGCTCTAGAATTCTTGCTAACTAAGCAACTACATATTTTATTATGGTATTAACTTTTTTACATGTTTAACTGTGATTTGATGTCTCATAGTCAAGCAAACAGTATTTTAAATAATATTAAGTAAGCAATTTACTCTCTACATAGCTTTCATAACATGCCAAAGAAAACAGAAGGGAAAGAAATGATAAAAACTCAAGTTTAAAGTACAAATGAAATGATTTTGGGATGCAAATCACAAGGAACAAGGGAAAGTTCTATTAGTTTTTTGATTTTTTAACATCATTAAAAGAGATTTTACCTGAGACTTTGAATTATTCTAACCAGGTTATTTTAGTTTAATTCTTCCAATATCACCTTTAAAAAATATGTTTACATTTCAATAATCTAAAAAAAAAAAGCTGCATACATATAATTTTTATGAAACCTTTTAAGCTCAATGATACTTGAATGGGGCAGATCACAGCTGTTCACAATTTCTTATTTCTATTTCAGAAAACCATAGTGAAACAAATGGAGTAAGATTTGACATGTTATCAGAAATGAAAAACATGACTCAAAACACAAAACTTCAAGAAATAACATTTCAAAACATCTTGAGACACTTTAAAAATGCTATCAAAAGAAACTGGCTGCTTAATGAAAATTATTAAAAAAACAAGTTTTTATGCATACTTACCTCCGGCATACATGACGGCCAACATGATGGAAGATATCCATGATACTTCACTAGTGGTGGCATTGAATATACTTTCAATTTCTTTAAAGAAGACTGTAATGGATTTGGGAAATGCATAAGAGAAGCCGATAGAAATGAAAGCTCCAATTACCACTGCCCACCCCCAGCCTCCATCTGGGGGGGTATATCCAACTGGTCCTCCAACTGCTGGTGGCATTTTAGGTATAGATGAATTCCAAAATGTAGCTCAAATCCAAATATCTGAAGAATATAAAATTAAAATAGTATGTCAATAATAAAGTATCCTAAAAAAAAACAAAAACCCTTCTGTGCAGCAATAATATGTGTTTCACTCCTGGTACCTGGAATAGAGCCGTGTGTGTGGTAGCACACACCTGTAATCCGCACACACCTGTAATCTGCGTAACTCAGGAGGCGAAACAGCAACTTAGTGAGACCTTATCTCAGAAGACTAAGGATGTGGTTCAGTGGTAAAGCGCACCTGGTTCAATCCCAGTAGTAACAACAACGACAAACTTGAACCAAGTAGAACAGATTTCTGTCAAACAAAATCATGTTTGCTGGGTGCAGTGGCGCACGCCTGTAATCCCAGCAGCTCAGGAAGCGAAGGCAGGAGGATCGCAAGTTCAAAGTCAGCCTCAGCCATGGGGTGGTGCCAAGCAATTCAGTGAGACCCCGTCTCTTAATAAAATACAAAACTGGGCTGGGTATATGGCTCAGTGGTTGAGTGTCCCTGAATTCAATCACTAGTACCCCCCCCCCAAAAAAATCACATTTCATTTTAATTAAAATAGATGTGTTAAATTACACATCACTGTGATAACCATCTCATTTTTCTAGAACTAATTTGAACTTAGAACAGGGAAGGCAGGAATTTTTTGCCCATGCAAAATAAGTTCATGCTCCCTTCAATATTTCTGACCTAATCTCTTTGGATTTCTGTCATAGGACTCTCTAAAACAATGCCTCTATAATTTTTCCTTCCTTTAGGGCCCTAGAGATTTTTATTGCATGGGGCAGTGAAACACAGTAAGATATGAGATGAGTAAGAGATATAAAATATAAAATTATATTTTTATTTTATATTTGGGGAAGAACCTTCAGATAAGGCAAGGTAGAAAAGCAGAAGACCTCAGGCATCCATTTTTAGAAAAATCAATTTTCAGCTAAGATTCCATCTAAATCTAATGATCTGAGAAAGAATTCCCTTAAAAATATCACCTAGTTTAAAGGTTAAAGATGCTTATTCTAGGGCTGGGGTTGTATGTAGCTCAGTGGTGGAGTGCTTACTTTGCATGTGTGAGGCACTGGGTTCAATCCTCACCACCATATAAAAATAAATAAATAAAATAATGGTATTGTGTCCATCTACAACTAAAAAAAAAATAAAACTAAAAAAAAAAAAAAAAAAAAAGCATTTCACTTAGCTAGTATTTACAAGATTTCCTAAAATTTCTACTGAATATAAAAAATGTTATTTAACATCTCAATTCCACTAACAGAGGCAGCCTAGATTCTAAGATTATGTTAAACAGAATTCCTCTGGGCACCAATTTTATGAGTTTTTTCTTATACATATAAATATGAAAAAAAGAGAACACTTGAAATTTTTCAAAGAACTACTAAAAAGATTAATTCATCTCAGAATATTTACATAGAATAACACCCCCACACACAGACGGTAGAGCTGTTTAACACATCAAGTCCTGACTGGAACAGCTAATACGTGCTGGACGTGATTAAACTTTGGGCTTAGCTGCCAGCTATGATTTGTCCCAATTAAGCAGTTCTAATTTTTAGTCACTAAGACTCGCCTCATCATGTTAATAATACCTCATTCTATAATGTCAAAATTAGATTTAGCACTTCTGCATAAAGCTTTAAGATGATTCAAAAATAAATATGAAGTGTAAGAAATAAAGGGTATGCAAAATAATTTTGGAAAAAAAAAAAAAGAACATTTATAAAACCCCCAAACTGATTCAATACAGTTCTACTACCATCTAACAAAAGGCTGCTCCTGTTAACTTAAAAATTCTTATTGTACATAACAGGAAAAAAGAAGTCAGAAATATCATTTAAGGATATTATTCCTTTTAAACTGGCAAAAAACTCAGCTATAAAGCAAAAGGCTCATTAAAGAAATAAGGTACAAGCAGGACGCCTGGCCCAGTATGTGGAGCTCTATTAAGAAAAGGGAGTACATACGTTTTTTATATATAGATGTTCAGAGGCTAAAAGGGACTTTAAGACTTTAATCCTTACAATGTACACAGTAGCCTCCCTATCAGCTTAGCTATTGTTGCCTATAAGTGATGGGAGGGATTAAGGAAAAAATGATAGGGTGATGAGAAAAGCTCAAATTGCATCAGACAGGATGATATGGAATAATAACCCTAATTTTTCTTAGCAATGATAACGGTAGCAAGAATCCCCTTTCAGAGTTTCTGAAGTCTCTCCTTTTCTCATATGTCTTTGGAATTATGCTTAGTAAACCAATATGAAAAGCCAAAGTTATGCTCCACACCCGCCAAGTCTTGGGTCCACTCCAGAAGAGCTACAAAAGCCCTTAAAAACAATAATCATTATGTTTATATTATTTATATTATATTACCCATACTTTTCCCATCAACACATAAAACAGAGCCACTGTCATTTCCTAAAATGACAATGGCAGTTTGTGATCGAAAAAGAGGCAGGAAGTATCTAAAAATCAATAATCTTAAAAGAATTTATTACTAAGTTTAAACTGGTTTTAAGTTTCAGCTACACATAGAAACATTAAAATCCAGAAGGCTGATTTACTGCAGCTATTGCTGCTAAAGAAGCTAACCTTCTGCTCTTTACAACTGGCCCTAATCCAGCTTCATAGCTTACAGAACCACCTGCCCCAAATTAATCTCCAAGATTCAAGAACTAGTAAATCTTATCTTCTTTTGCCTTATTTTCCACTATTAAACTGATTACAGTGAAAAAGGAAGGAAAAAATAAATAAGTAGGCTAGGGTGTATAGCTCAATGGTAAATGTGTGCTTAGCATGCACAGGTCCCCAAGTTTATTCCCTCAAATCAAACAAAAAGCACCCATCACAGTAAAAATACAACCACTAAGCCTAACACTCAAGCAATGCATTGTTTTGATCAAACTGCATATGAAGAACATTTAAAAAGTATAAACCTGTCTCTGCAAACCTCCAACTATCTGTGTCATTCAGGGAAAACCTACCTGTATTACAAGTAAAATACACTCTCCTCATTCCAAGAGAAATCAGCAAATTGCTAACTAGAATGCTTTAAGAAGCATTTCAAGTCTATCTTCCAGAATATGTGTAAATAAATTCTTGCTTTTAACCCATTTTTATCTCTCTTAAAAAAAAAAAAAAATCAATATTTTAGTTAATAATCTGTTTTTTATATGATCCAACCTTTGTACTAATAAACTAGAAAAAAATATATATTTTTTAAGACAGCAGATCTCAGCCAGGTACAGTGGTGCACGCCTGTAATTTCAGCAATTCAGGAGGCAGAAAGATCCCAAACTTCAGGCCCTAGGCAACTTAGTGAGAACCTGTTTCAAAAGAAAAAATTAAAAGGGCTGGAGATGCGACTCAATAGTTAAGCGCCACTGGGTTCAATTCCTGGTAACAAAAACAGGAAAAAAGTAAAAACAAAAAACAGTAAAAAAGACATGTGGCCACTATGGAAAACATGGAAATTCCTGAAAAAAAAAAAAAAATTGTCAGTAAACCATACCTTCCAGGTATATATACACCAAAGAACTGAAATCTGGATCTCAAAGATCTGCACTTCCATGTTCTTTGCAGCATTAGTCAGTAAAAGGCAAGAATGAAAGCGACCTAAATGTCCATCAATGGAGAAATAGATAAAGAAAACGTGGCATATACATACAGTGGAATATTATTGAGCCTTAAGAAAGGAAACCCTGCTATTTGGATAAACCCAAAGGACACTTGCTAAGTAAAATAAACCAGACCAAGAAAGACAAATACTGCATGATCTTACTTATATGTGCATCTAAATTAGTCAAAGAAGCAGAGAGTGAAATGGTAATTGCCAGGAGCTGGATGGAGGGGGAAATAGGAAGGTAACCGTCAAAGGGCACACACTGTACAACACAGAGCCTACGATCAGGCAACATTATACCAAATACTTAGTTTGCTAAGAGTGTATATCTATCTATCTATCTATATATATATATTTTTTTTTAACACAAAAGGAAAAACACAAATTGGGAGGAAACGTGGAGGTGATAAGCACAAGGCATAGACAGTGATGATGGTTACAAAAGTGTAGACTTATCTCCGAACAGCTCAAGTTGTACACATTAAATAGCTACAGCTTTCTGTATGTCATCATACATCATTAAAGCATTAGAAAGGGAAGGGAGGGCAGATCCAGGGAGCAAGATATTAAAGATGTGTCATGAAATTCATAAAGCTATCTTATTTTCCTGGGTTTATTGTTCTAAGTAAAAATTCACTTTCAGGGCTGAGTTGTCCAGCATACTTGAGGCTTTGGATTCCATATTCAGCACCACACACAAAAACAGCCACACCAACAACAGAAATTCTTCACTCTCATACCCAACACCTGCCCCCTGAACAAACAAACTAAAGCAACCTTAAGCAGATATGTAGTTGAAAAGGGAAGTAAATAGCTTTTTCAGATAATTGTGAATGTTCTTTGATAACCACACTAAAGTTTGGCAAACGATATAGCCTTTTGTTTGTTTTTGTGGTACTGGGGATTGAACCCAGGGCTTCACACATTTGGGCAAGAGCCCCTACCATAGAGAGAAAGGGTCTCTCTAAGTTGCCCAGGCAGGACTTGCCTCAGCCTCCCAAATAGCTGCAATTATAGGCAAACAGCACACATGGCTCTATAATCTGGACCCCTGTAATGCTGGGAATTGAATCCAAGGCCTCAAGCATGAGGGCAAACACTACAACATAGCTATATCTCCAGCCCTATAGTAGTTGTTGTTGTAGTTTACCTTTTTTAAAAAATTGGTTCTTTTTAGTTATACATGAAATGATAGTTGAACCATTCTATACAGGCACAGAATATATCTTTATTCTAATTAGGACCCTAGTCTTATGGATGTACACAATGGTAAGATACACTGTGGTATATTTATACATGTATATAAGAAAGATATGTCATATTCATTCCACTGTCCAGCCCTGTAGTGTTTTTTTGTTTTGGTAGTGGGGATTGAAC